CATGTATTCCTCACCTGATTTGGAAGGAGAAAACGTTCGAAGCATCCATCCTTCGGTAAACTAACCTCGAGTAACCAGACTAACTACGAAAAGAACTATCTAACGCTGACTGAAACTGCGTCTGCTATGGAAGCAGGAAAAATCCCCGTATGAACAGCAAAAATGCGAATAATTCGTACGGGACTACCAACAAGAGTCCAATTTGTCACTTACCACCCGATCCAAGTCAATGTATTCTACGTTTTTAAAAAGCTATAAGAAATTCTTTTCGCACTTTTTTTAACCTTCAGTGTACTTTGTAGCCAGTAAATCTGTGAACCAGAGGTTGCGTGACATGTGCGTGAGTATTAACTATCACGGAAAAAATTTGAAGTGTTGCGCCGAGTGGGTCGTTCGCTGAGTATGCAGAGAGTACGCAAATTAATCTGGCTCAAAGAAACGGCACTCACTGGAATTGCTTAATTCTTCTTAAGGCAAATATAATAATTTGGATAAGGAAGAATCAGCAATTACAGAGAAATTCAATGAAATCTTCTGACTTCCNGGACCGTTCAGCGACTGGTATCTGCTATTCATACGAGATTCCTCGAGTACATGTATAACTAAAAGTTACCATTAAATTTAAGAATCGCTAACCTGTTTTTGAAGGTCATACATGTAGTTGAACACTTTCCTCAGACAATACCTCCCCAGCCGTATTTTCGTGGAACAGTTTACGTTACAAGATTCAGTGTACATGTATTCCTCACCTGATTTGGAAGGAGAAAACGTTCGAAGCATCCATCCTTCGGTAAACAAACCTCGAGTAACCAGACTAACTACGAAAAGAACTATCTAACGCTGACTGAAGCTGCGTCTGCTATGGAAGCAGGAAAAATCCCCGTATGAATAGCAAAAATGCGAATAATTCGTACGGGACTACCAACAAGAGTCCAAGTTGTCACTTACCACCCGATCCAAGTCAATGTATTCTACGTTTTTAAAAAGCTATAGGAAATTCTTTTCGCACTTTTTTAACCTTCAGTGTACTTTGTAGCCAGTAAATCTGTGAACCAGAGGCTGCGTGACATGTGCGTGAGTATTAACTCTCTCGGAAAAAAATTTGAAGTGTCGCGCCGAGTAGGTCGTTCGCTGAGTATGCAGAGAGTACGCAAATTAATCTGGCTCAAAGAAACGGCACTCACCGGAATCGCTTAATTCTTCTTAAGGCAAATATAATAATTTGGATAAGGAAGAATCAGCAATTACAGAGAAATTCAATGAAATCTTCTGACTCCCGTACGAAGCAAATACAAGTCGCCGTACGGGTGCCGTACGAATAGCCACTGCGAATTAATAAAAGAGGCGCATTCTCAACCTCGCATGGTTCGACGATTGAAATTCATCAAGTGCCTTAAAAGAACAGTTAGTTACAGTCAACAAGTCGCTATCCGATTCACTTGAGGTTGGACAGAAAGGCCGTTGCTGGGGTCAACGGTGAAAACCATCGCTCACTGTTGTATGACCAAGAACTGGCTCAAAACGTTTTTTACCAAAGCGGAAAAATTTGCGTCATGTAAGGAGGAACAAAGTGTGCCTATTTTCCTTTCCTTGAGGCAAACCGCTGACAAATAAGACTGAGCAGGCATTCATGCGGGGCACTCTGGGTAGCAGAAAAGATGAAGGATGTCGCGGGAGATTTTAAAAACCAAGTAAGGTCAGCTTTTGACCAAATTTGTTGCTAATGTTTAGTTTACGATAAACTGGAGGTAACCTTGATATATCTGTTTGACCTGGTCGCTACACTGTAGCTGCTGTCGTCCACTGCAAGGTTTGTTTCACTTCACACGAACGCTTTGCAACGCTCGTTTTGGGGAAAGCAATGAAAAGCAAATGAATGCAACGTGTGGTTTATTTCAATAAGGTAAGCTCATAAGTGTTTTAATTGTGTACGTTATGGTTATAAACTAGTAGAAACCGGTTACTTGTGTTAAATAGAGTGCTTCATTCCTTTTGGAAATGATGTTACCGTGGGCAACTGTTGACCAGTTGGTTAATACATGCAGAGTTGTTTACCAGTTGTTCCTTGGGTATATGTACAAGTGCAAAATGTCATTAACCAGCATTAACAGACCAGCTCTATACAGTCATGTAGTTCATTACTACTATAATATTTTGGAAGGTTTTTACTACTATAATATTTTGGAAGAACAGGAAACGGTCTTTCAACATACAGTCCCACCTTTTCCATCAGCTCGTTACTTTTAAGCAGTTGCTTTGTGGACTTACAATCAGAAATACTGACACTGCTTAAATAACAAACAGACAAACTTTCATGTTAATACTTCTACATAAAAAAGACGTCGTCAGCGTAAACAATTTGTTCTCAGACAATACCTAAACGTGGTTGAACAAACCTGAATGAAATGCAAACTTTAGTTTCAAGTCAAGTATCCATCATACCTCTGTCAATCCATGTCAATAGAAANGACGACGTGTTTTTTTATGTAGGAGTATTAGAATGTCATTAACCAGCATTAACAGACCAACTCTCTACAGCCATGTAGTTCATTATTACTATAATATTTTGGAAAGTCAGGAAACGGTCTTTCAACATACAGTCCCACCTTTTCCATCAGCTCGTTATTTTTAAGCAGTTGCTTTGTGGACTTATCATCAAGCATATTGAAAGTGCTGAAATAACAAACAGGCAAACTTTCATGTCAAAAGTTGGCCAAGTAAACACTTGTACACAAAGAACAAGTGGTAAACAACTTTGCATGTACATGTACAGTATTACAATCAACTGGTCAACAGTCATTGACCACGGCAACATCATTTCCCAAAGGAATGAAGCACTCTATTTAACACAAGTAACGGGTATTCACAAGTTTGTAACCATAACGTACAGAATTAAAACATTTATGAGCTTACCTTATTGAAATACACCACACGTTGCTTTCCCCAAAACGAGCGTTGCAAAGCGTTCATGTCAAGTGTCAAGTCAAACAAACCTTGCAGTAGACGACAGCAGCTACAGTGTAGCGACCTGGTTAAACAGATATATCAAAGTTACCTTCAGTTTACCGTTAACTAAACATTAGCAACAAATTTGGTCAAAAGTACGATAAATAGGACTGACCCTTACCTAGGTGGTTTTTAAAATCTCCCGCGCCTTCAGCAACATCCTTCATCTTTCCTACTACTCCCGCGTGAATGCATGCTCAGTCTTATTTGTCAGCGGTTTGCTTCAAGGACAGACAAAATAGGCACACTTTGT